CCCGCTGCACCCCCCGCACCGGCCACAGGACTTACCCAGCCCCCTCCTCACCCCCCACCGTGGGTCTGGGTCCTGTTTGTAGGACCGAGTTATGACAAAAGTGTCTTTTTCTAGCAGAAAGGAAGCGGTGCTGCAGTTTCACCCGCCTTCAGCTGCTCTGCGGGCCTGTGTTCCTGACGGCCACCCTCTGGCGCAAAGCGGCGCATTCCCTGTTCGTGGGGGACGGTGTGGGCAGTTGCTACCCAGTTCCTGGATGTGGGGAGTTTTTTGGGGCTGGCCGTCTGGAGGGAGGTGTGGCACCAGACCCAGGTTAGGCAGAGCGATGGTTACTGAGATTGTTGGATTTTGAGGCACGTGGCTCCCTGGGAGAGGCAGCGGGAGCTGCCTCTGGGCGAGAGGAAGCTGAGGGGTGTCTGCCTGTGGCTCCTCGCTGCAGGTGATGGAGCCAGTTTCTTCTCAGATGCAAGGGGCAACAGTGACAGACTGGGGCTCGGGAGGTTCAGCCTCCTCGCCTGTTAGAGCGGCATCGCCCTGGACAAGGTGACAGCAAAGTCCCCTCTGTCCTGGGGGATTTGCAGGACTTGGCCAGACAAAGCCCTGAACACCCTTGGCTGGGGCTGGTGTTGGTCCATGGGGGCTGGAGAGGGGCCGCTGGGGTCTGTTCCCAGCCTGCTGTGGCTGTTGCTTCTTTTGGGGAGGCAGTTACCACCTTGCTCACAGGGGTCCCTGCTCCTGTCCAGAGCTGCCTCTGCGTCGCTCAGCCTTTTGGTTTCGAAAGGGCACAAGTGGGAGTTAGAGGGTTGCAGGGTTTGGATTTAGTGGGGAGAGATCTTGGTGCAGAAACTGTGAGAGAAATCGTCTGCTCTGGGTCAGCCGGGGGGGTTACCAGCGCCCTCCCAGCCTCGGGGCCAGACTCTGCCTTTGGTGCCGTGTTTGCAAGCGGACGGACACAAGTTTGGTGCTCAGAGCTGTGATTTCTTGTGTCCATCGGGCTGCTGATGACTGTGCTGGCTCCCAGGTAGCGTGGGGATGTGATTTACTTACTGGCTGGTGTGCTTTGCGCCTGGTTCTGTCAGAAGTAGCTTATCTCCTCTTCCACCCTGGCTGTAGAGATCGAACAGGGCTCTCCCTCTCAGCCCTCGTGTTTCTTTGCCCAAGCTGAGATGTTGCCTGAATTCGTCCCCTTTGTCACTGATCCTGGGCCCTCCTCGACAGCCCTGCCAGAAATTTCCTCTGGTTTAGGGTGTTGTAGGTGAGACTGTGGCTTGGCGGGTGCAGATGCTAAAGGAGACTGAGTTGCGTGGAGCTGCAGGTCAACCGGCTGGAGGAACTTCGGGCTGGCTCATGTTGCACACCCCGAGTTAGCAGGGTCCAGGGAAGCCTCGTTTAACCCAACGCTGTACTTCAGCCCCTAAACCAGGGGCACTCAGCTCGGAGGGGTGCCAAAATTGGGCTAGTGTCTTGGTGGCGCCCTGAGAATGTATGAAAATGAGCTTTGAATGAGGTTGCCTGTTTGGGATGGATATTTGATGTGCACAGCATGAACAAAACAGCCCTGTCCTGGCGTGTCTTCAAGCTCTTTTCTTTCCGTTTCAGAGCACAATGTTCCTGGTCGGACTCTCGGGTGGAATCGCATCGGGGAAGAGCACGGTGGTGGCCGTACTCCGGGAACTGGGCTGTGCCGTGATTGATGCCGATGTTATTGCCAGAGAGGGTGAGTTTTGCGTAGTTGATCTTTCTCCCCGAGGTTCCCCTGACAACTGGGGTTGATCCGGGGAAGCGCAGACGGCAGAGGGTGCTCTGGGTACGTTAGATAATAAGTGTTTCCTTCCCATTCCCCAGTGGATGAGGCCGTGTGGAGCAGCTGTCTTGGGGGGGGCGGATTGGAACTAGGATATATTTTTAATAAAGAAAAAAACCCCTAAGATCATGTCCTAATAAACACCGTGGGGAAATCTTGCCCTGAGTTTCCCTCTCCTGGAGTGCAATGCTTCCCCGCTTGGAAAGCCAACTCCGGGCAAAACAACTGCGGTTCTCTGCAAAGCGGGTTTCCTCGGCTGATCTGATGTTCCCCTGAACCCCCAGGACCCCCATCCCCTAACTGGGTGGTGTTGGGTGTGATCACTAACGCGCTCAAAAGAGGATTTCCCTCGGTGCTGGATGTTGCTTGCATGGCAGGGCTGAGAGATCAGTCCACAAAATGACTTGTGCCTTATCGCGCTCAGAAAAAGAAAAGAGGCTCCAAATATCCCAGATCAGAGGGAATTCGGTCTGGGCCTCTGCGCGGCACGCCTGCCTCCGGCTGCGCTCCAGGCTGCAGAAAAGACCCAGAAATCCGAATCTGTTGCCTCAGCAGGACTGGAGCCGACCCTGCTCTCCCCGATCGCCTGCGCGATGCGGGGTGAGGTGTCAATCCCTCGGTGCCGCTGGGATGACGAGGGGGGCAGCGCTGGCTCCAGCAGGGGCTGCTGATTTTGTATGCGGAAGGTTTCGGGTCTGCAGCGGAGCCGCGGTGCGGGCGGTGTCGTTTGGAAGCGCCTGCGTTTTTCTGTTTGGTGAAGAACTTAGCGCGTAGCCACTCGAAGCTGCGATGCTCTTAACATTTTATTGCACTGTAATTCCCCCTCGAGGTGTGGGAAATTTGCTGGAGGTGCTAAAAGCCCTCGGAGACGATAGGAAAACACTGCAGATACTCAGTGTCAGTTTTCTACCAATCACTTCGTTTTTCTCCAATTCCTCTTTTTATATGTTTATTTACTACATGGATTTCACCCATCCTGAAACTGCCTCGATGTGAAATTCCGCAGGAGAAAGAAATTGGTCTTAAAGACTTTTATTAGGTTGGCCTGAGGTTACAACCTGTGGCAATGTTCCTGGGGTTTGGAGAGAAAATTATATACGGTCTGTCGTTCTCTGTGGTTAGCCTCAGCTTGATCTTAATTAGGGTTTTATTACTGCATCCTTTTTGTGGGTGATTTTTTGGTGGCTTTAAAATTATATGCTCATGTAACATCAAATACCTACTGGGAATTGATCTCTTGGAAGGTTTCTGTGTTCATTCTCCGGAAGAATTCGGTGGCTGAGGCAGAAGACAGTAAAAAACCTTAGTGGCAGCCGAGCCAACTCGTAGCAGCCAGGCTGTGTTCACCTGGCGCTGGTGTTTTCAGCTAAAATAAACCCGACGCTGGTCCCGGGCCCTTTAGGATCTCCCTGCTCGACTCCTCACCCCGCGGGCTACGGCTCAGCCCCGTCCCTGCCCGTGCCTTGGCTGGGAGCCCTCAGCCAGCCCTCCCGCCCGCCCTGCTGCCTCCTGACCCCGAGCAGCAGCACGCACCAGGGAGGGTTGTGGCGCTGAATGAATGTTCGCAGGACGCTTCGATCTCTCGGGTGTCAGCCCTCGGAGGGACCTTGGGCCGAGAGGGGTTTTTGCAGGCGCATCCCTGCCGCACCGAATCCAGGTGCCGGCCGCGCCGCAGCGCCGAGCGGCGCCGCTGCGGGTTCGGCGGG